CCTTCATGCAAACAGAATGACCTGTCCCTTTTTAAACAGCCCCTTTATGAGGTCCCTTCAGATACACTATTGCGGAGCACAGACTCCGTTCCAGATTCACCATACCATGAACGCTGTCTGCATCACTGCAGTGTGAAAGCCTTCTGCCCCCTACTGGATGACATGTTTCTAAATATCACTTTGAAAAATCTCAGCTTGTCTTTTTCTTTTATAGAGCTGAGCCCAGGGTCAGCAATTAACAACTACTCAGTGGGCACGTCTACACGTGCAGTAATGCGCATTAAGTTTAGTACCTCCAATGTGAAGTACTAAATTAATGTGCATTGGGCTGTACTAATGCACAGTAGTGCCTTTGCATGCTTTTTTAGTGATGCTTAATGTGCAGTAGACTATTTTACTGTGCATTAGCATAATGTCACTTTTTTCTGTGATGCTTTAATGCACAGTAAAATAGTCTACTGTGCATTAAAGCGTACGTGTAGACATGCTCAGTTAATCATAAATAGCTACAATAGGGAAACTGCCTTCAACAGACAAATGAGACAACGACATCACTAATGTGTCATCTGCCTTCATACATGTATGCTTTCATTCTTCTGGTGGAGGAGAATCTGAAGGAGAAGGGAGTCTGTCATCCTCAGACTTTGGCAGTGAGTGTACTTTGAACTCTGGTTACATTCTCTGGTACCTCTGAATTAGGACAACATGCTGAGACTTTACATTGTGTGATTTACCTGAGACAGGTGTTGTCTTTTCCCGCTTGCTGTTAATGGAATTAATCCCAGCTCCACCTGGTCTGGTGTGTGAGCCACTTTGACGTGTTTTCAATCTGTATCGGCTACACTCATTACGGCTGAGCTGACCGGTGAGACAGAAGGAAGCGAAATAGAGATAATTTTAAATGTTGCTAACAAAGCTTCGTGTTTAGGGTTTTTTTGCTTAGAAGTATAAAATTAGAGAATGAGGAGAACACAGTAGTTGCCATCTGTTTTGATTTCAGGAAAGCATTTGATATTGCATCTCATGAAAACTTAATCATTTCCAATTGCCTTAGGTAGGAAAAATGTTACCTAGAATGCATGCTAGATAAACAAGGATTACAATAATCCCGTGTGTGTGTGGAAAGGGGGCGGGGGGAATTTAGGCTACTGCAGGAATTGGGGTTATGTCTGCTCTAACTTAACTCCCAATGAATGGCACAGAGGAGAGAGCATCCAGAACATCAGTGACATGGACAGCTGAGCTAAAATTATTGATGGAAACAGCAAGGGCAGAGAAATATTACAGAAGGCTTGATGTAAAGAGAGGAGCCATGTGGATTGAATATTTCTAAGTGAAACTGCTTGTCAAGTGCAAGCTCATACACTTGGGTAATTCCTCTGAAATACAGACAGTCAGTGAGATGGGGGTAGGGGGAGGGGAACGTGGTAAAGAGACCACAGGATTGGAGTGGACGGTAAATTGGATGGGAGGTTGCAATGTAATTGGCTGAGAAAAAAAGCAGAGTATTCGACTGCACTTGGGTATTTCACCTGTTAATAATCATCCACCAATGAACAGTGCTTAAGTGATTATATTGCACAGCACTTGACACCATGGGACAAGACATTTTGTGGCATGTCAGTAGACCCGCCCAGGAGTAGCAAGCAATATTTTTGAGTGGTTCTATCCACTGAGAGATCCTAGAGAACGTTTTGGGTGATCGTATGTGTGCTCAATATCCTTTACATAAGAGAGACCACGGGATTCTCTCCAGTCACACTATCTGTTCCTGCTGGGGAAGATAGCGAAGGGTTTGAAGTTAGGGTTTTGGCAGTAATCCTGGAATGGAGACACCACTGCTCTGAATGGCTGTTACGTTTGTAGCTTAGATACTTGCATGGCCCTTAGGTACGATAAGGAATGCTTCTTATTCATCTTTCATTGGCTGTGCAGAGGCCACGCAGACTTTAGATCTAAGAACTGATAATTACTAATTTTTCTAGCCTGTGGTTTTCAAGTTAAGTGGTAAAATGGCAGGTTGTGCTCCTTTATATATTGTGCAAGCTCTTAAACAGTTTTAGGTTTAGGACAAGAGGCCTTATTTAGAATAGATTCAGATTTGAGGCAAGGCAGACAGTTGGTACTAGGTCCCAGCAGAGATGAGTGGGGAGACAGATTGAACTGAGATGCACTTACAGCTTTTGAACACAGAAGAAACCCAATTAGTCTCAATAATGCCAAATTTTTTATCTGAGTGTCGTCCGCCTCCC